GAATACTTAATGAATAGCACCCGAATATATATATTTTTTCATCAATCAAGTGCACTTTCTAACATCTGGAAGAAGGCGATTCGCATATCAATGAAACTTTACATTATCATGGATGAATAAACAAGAAAGACTAAAAAAAAAAAGAATATGATTTTTTTTCATGTTTAACAAGTTAGATTTGAAACAGTTGTTGAATTTGTTTGTTTTGTAGAGTGTCGTGCATTATTATTATTGAAAAGATCTTGTAATTGTTCAATATCATCAGAAGTTGTAGGTGGAATGAGATTTGATGAATTTGAAGTTGAACTAGAAGATTCTAATAGATCATCCATTTCTAGATAATTACTTTGAGATTGATTTCTATGTTTTCCTGTTTCATTATGTTTATTTTTATTTGTAGAATCATTTTCAGATGTTTTCATAGATAGAGACGAAAATGATGAAGATGTTGACCATGTAGATGGAAAATCAAAAATCTGAGTAGAAGATAGTTGTTGTATGTCATCGGTACTATCAATAATTTGAGATGTTGTAGAATCAGGAATTAATGGACTAGGTGTTCGATCAAGTAAATTAATAAGTGAACTGGTTTGTTCTAATAAATTAGCAGAAAAACACAATGAAATAATTTTATATAAATTAAAGAAAAAAGGTGGTGAGAAAACCATTCATAATTTAATCTATTTCATTTTTAAGGATTAGATCTCTAATGTTGGCGAACTATGTCATCAAATTCGAAACAGAAAATAAACGTTCAGTAACAATTATTGACACTAAAACATAACTCGATAACATTTCTATCTGTTTTCTCAAATAAGGAAGATCTTGGTAAATATTTAATTTATATGTTTCTCTACCCTTCAACAGTTCCTAAAAACTTGAATTCGTTTGTTGTCGCTATGCGAATATACATTAGACTTAAAAAACGGAGAAATACAGAAGGAAAAAAATAAAAGAATTGAGAAAAGATTATTTATTAGCTCGATAACTTCGGTTTAACGTGACAACAAAAATGAGTACCATACGCTCCTCTGTTTTGCTAGCTGAACTATTTGTTTCGAAAACAAATAAGAGTTTTTATCGGTGATGCCAAATGTCATAGTGAGAAAATCGAAAAATTCCGGAAGCTTTTTTTGTTAAATCCGGACAAGTTTTTAACAGTTAATTTTTACCAGCTAAAATAAGGTTCTATAAATCCTGTTCCCAATTATATCATTTACTATTTCAAAAAACACATGTTTCAATATACGAAAAGAAAATATACATTAAAATTCAAAATATAATAAACTAAATATATAAGAAGCGATAAATTATAAACTCCACTATTAATTAATACGTTGTTTTTTAATAGAATACTTTTGATTCGATAAAAAATCATCTAAAATCCGGAAAAAGTTTAGAAAAGGTATTAAAATCCGGAGTTTTTCTGGAAAAACCGGAAGATCTGGCAACACTGGTTTTTATCCACTTTCACCCTTTGACTTCCGAATTATTTTTTGTTGGATTGAATTCAAGTAAATTGTTGGATTAGCTGCTTCTAGACATAAGAGTATATGTCAGACATATCTTATCTGTTCTCACAGGTGATTAGTCGATTTGTGCAATGTAAGTTACATTGCACTTTATTAGGCTGAACGGAAATTTTAACTGTTGAAGTTTATTAATTGCAAAACTTCGTGTTTTCATGAAATAACAAAAAACAATTTTTATGCTGTTTTACACATAAAGAAATACCACAAAAACTGCATTTTATATTACTAAATATCGGACGAGCTTTAGTACTGCAATATCCACACCGTCCTTTAAGTCCAGCAACAGGCGTATGTGCTAATTTTTATGAATTACATTATGAGAAATATAAAAACAGGTGTAGCTTTTTTTATACCAGGGAAGTCAAAGGGATAGAACAAAAATATCGATGTCAGAATTGGCATGTTGCACGGAAAAGTTAAAAAATTTCGATCGATTCCATCATTGTTAATGTTTTATTAAAAGACATGTGTTTGAATTTCAAGAATCAATGACCTTGTAAAGTATTAATGAAAAGTTTATTGGGAGAGAGAAGGATTGATCTCATAATTCTCTAAGTATTTATTCGATATTTGACGCTATCAGTATATGTCAAAGTACATTTGAACTAAACAATATTTTGAGTTATAACAAACAAAAAAGATCTTGATTTACTTACCAGGCGTCGTCGTAAGTTTACAATCAGTCAGACGTTTTTCTAATTCTATTATACGACTAGCTAATAATCTAAATAATAATAATAAGAGAAAATGAAATAATTATTTTTCTTCAATATACTTATTAATTTTTCTTTGATGAATTATTGTTACATTTTTATCTTTAATATTTTCAAATAAAGCTTCTGCAATTGATCGTAAATCATTATCAGTTTCTGGATTATTTGGAAGAATATAACTTTGATTTATCACACTACGAACTAAAAAATCAAATAATTATTATTGGAAAAAAAAATAACTTCAAGATTTATACCTTGATTATAAGTTAATATATCTCCTGACGATTGTATTTTTCCTTGACGATGAAATGCAGATCGTTGTGTTTGTATAAGATCCTAAAGTATATTCTCTTGTAAATTGAATTTAAAATATTTGATTTACTTTATATTTATTAGCATTAGCAATGGCAAGACTTTTTTCACGGGTTAATTCAATGATTTTTTCTTTTAAATAACTATAGAGATAATGAATAATAATAATATATAGGTTTATTTTATTCTACCGATTTTCTGATAAAACAAGTTCAATATCTACAATACATTTTTCATTTCCATTTAACATTTTATTCAATTCTTGATTTAATTTATTGTATTTTATTTTAAATGAATCACGTTCAATTTCAAGTTCTTCTTTTTCACAAGTAATTAATTTTAAATCATTATGTAATTCATTTATCTATGGAAATAAAATAAAATTACAAGGTATATAAAAAAAACAATTTCTTTACTCGTTCATTTGATTGTTCTAAATGATTTAATAAAATTGATTGATCTTCTCTATGATTATCTAATTCTTTATCATTATTTTCATATTGATTATTACTATTATTCCGATCTCGATTTCGTTTTTGTCGGAAAATCTGAATGACAAAATAAATAAATACTTGAAAAACTTTAGAAAATTACATACCGATAAATCACCTTTGACATCATTAAGTTCATATTGAAGTTCATCTATTTTCGATTGTAATCCTTCTTTTTCATCTTGAACAGTTTTCAGAGCTGTTTTTAGAAGATGAATTGTCGACTAAATTAATAAATATATATTAATTAAAAGTAACAAATTAATCAATAAAAAGAGTTCGGTTAGTAAAAATTTCAGCATGCATATTTCGTGCTTTAATAAACTGAACAAACCTCTTTGTCTTTAACTGAATCATATGCTATCTGAATAGTCTAGAGAGTTATGAACTTTTTCATTATGATAAAGAAGAAAACTTACATCATTAGGATGTTCATAGAGTGTTTGAGAATGATGAATCGCATTGAGAGGTTCTATCTAAAAAATAAATAAATAATTACTTTCATAGTGTTACGTATGAAAAAGAATTGCGTAAGACGATTTCGTCTCACTATGAACGAGACTACTAAAGAAAAACATTGTGCAAGTCAAAGCAGAATTTTTATGAAATTCAACGATTTTATCGTATAGGTGAAAATTCTGATTAAACTATTGAATAGTAGAATGTGATCAGTGAAAATATAAGATAATCAAATATTTTCTTTCATACGTGCTGTATTGAAATGATTAACGCATCTAAAGGTAAATTAAATCCCTATACAAGATTAGTTTAATTTGAGTACACAATACCATAGGATATATTTGAACAATGAATTAGCGAAGTTTATTAAGTAATGTTATACATGTGTAATTCTTCTTTCCTTTATTTATGCTTGTTCGTAATACAATCACTTCTTTTCTCATCTATCTGATTTACAGCTTGAAAGAATTAGAAGAGTTTTGACAATGTACAGACCATCTGTAAGAGATTTTCCTTTGACTTATTTCACAAGCATCGCAATCAAAACAATCGCTAAAGGACTACCATACAAAAATATAATTTGTTTGTAAAGAAATAAAGATTATATTTGTAGAATTTCGAAGTAAACTGAATTAACAATTCTAAGTATTTCTACCTTATTTATTGTTGGTTTTCTAAGTTGTACACATTTTTCTTGTAAACTATCAGCAAGTGTCTTAAATTGATCGCGTTCATGTCTTAATGACTCAAGTTCATTGATTAATATCCCAAATGCTTTTGTTTTACTGTCTAGTTTTTTCTGTAAAATTTGAATCTATATAAAAGAGAAAATGAGGAGTTGTATTGTTTTTTTGTTTCTTTCAGATTTAATTAAACATACGTCATTATTTAATAAATCAATCTGTTGTTGTTGATTATCAGTCATGTGATTTATTCTGAAAAATAGAAGTTGGTAAACACTGATAGAAAAAGAGACACAAAAGTAAACGAAATTGTTTAGAATAAAAAAAAAGAGAAAAGATGCATTCACAAAAGCAAAAAAATAAATTAACTTGTTCACTGGGTTTAAAATTCATTTTTGGTCTGCACTGGTTTCATTCGAATACCTTCTAATATAAAATCAAGTTTTTGTGCGACTTTTTTACACCCTGATACAGAATAAAGTTGTGCATCTGGAGGTGAGAATTCAATTAAATCAAGAACTTTAGCAACAATATCATTATCAGATAATTTATATTGATATTCTTCATGTTTACGAACAGCAGCAAGTTGTCGTTGAATACAGGTACTAACATGTGAACGTTCAAGTGGTAAAAATGGTACAAAAAAATCTACTAAATGGCGATTAATTAGTGATGCATGCCATAATCCACCTTGAATAAGAATAAGAATACAAGATTATATTTAAATCTATCAAGAGAAAAAAGAATAGTTTCCAAACCTTCTTCATTATGCGCAGCATTTCCAAGTTCTTTTTGAAATTCCGCTATCTTATAATCCTCACGCTTTACAGAATCCAAATGATATTTAAAAGCTATACGATTGATTTCTTTTCCACCGGTGTTACTAAAGAATAAATGGTCATATTTCTCCGAAGGAAAATTATCATAGTTTTATTTTTACCTTAAAAAAATAAATATAGTTTTACGAAAATCAATTGGTTGGACATAGTTTGGAGTATGAAAATCAATATAAGACAAAATCACATCTAGTAATTTCTTAGGCATTTTATCAACTTCATCAAAAATAAATGTTGCATATTCACAAGCACGTGTTCCTCCTTCAATATCTTTCTTAATTCGAGCCTATGCAAAAAAAGAAAGTTTTTTTTTTAAGAAAATGATTTTTATGTATTTACATACCTGATACTCTCGAAAACTTTGTTCATCATTGTGCATAAAATCACGAGAAGCAACATACAGTCGAGCATATCCACTTTCGTAGCCTTTTTTGTAAAGACTTTCGACAATAAGTTTACTAACAAAATTTTTTCCTAAATGAAGAATGAAAAGTTTTGATTTGAAAAATAATCAGTTAAATAGTCATCTAAAATTCCCGGTAAAAGCCAAAATGAAGCCTTACATTGACTTTCTTTATTTTTTTATTAATCTTAATATAAATACTATACAAAAATCAAACTTGATTATATTTACCTGTGCCAGTACTTCCATGTAACAAAAGCACAAGTGCTTTAGCTGGATTTTTGGTATTTATATGTGCTTTAATGGATGTATGTATGACATTACGTGCAATTGGTTGACCCATTAGTTGATCTTTCATTCGTATATCAAGTTCTTTAAACAAAAGAAATGCATCCTAGCTAAAGTTTGGAATTTTCTGGCAAAGTCTACCTGTCATATTTTGTGGTATCCAATACTTTGAACAACATTCCCAGAAGCAAAATGCCTGTACAAAGTTTACAATATTTACCATGAATTTTTGTTTTGTTTTAAATCTTCAACAAAAAACAACGAACGACATATATAATGGATTTTTCGAAAAAGTAAAATGAGCAGCACTGTTATGAACACAAAAAAATAATATTTATCAAAATATCAAGAAATTATTTAAAAAAAAACAAAATAACACATGAAAAAAATAATATATTTGAATAAAAGAATTATTATTATTTTTGAGTAGAATTAGTAAGATCAGTGTCATCATTATTTGTATCCATAATAAATTGTCTCAAACAACCAACAGCACTGAAATAACCCTAAAAAAGAAACAAAATATAAAATTTCAAATAACGAAGCTTCATTTTTCATACTTCATGTTCAAGAAATATTGCTTTTATTTTACCACGTGACCAATAATCCATTGCATAAGCTAATATTCTCATTGATACTTCATTAATACGTAAAAAGCTACCACTAAATAACACTCGATCAACATTCTATATAGATATAAATAACAAAATTATATTTAATAGGCTTATTTTACCTCAGTTTGAGCACACATCATTGAAATTGAACCAATATTATTTAGAACAGTTACTAAAGTAGCTCGAGCTAAATCAGCTTTTGATGCTTGTTCACGTTTCTCTAATGAATTCATATGACCAAAACTAAATAATATGAAATAGATGAAAAGAACTGCAATGAGAGAAACGCTCATATTTAGATGACTAAAGCTCAATAGTTGATAACTTTCCGGAATAAAATAAATAATATACTGAATCTTATTGATTATTTCTATTACAGGAATATGTTCGATGACTTGCTTTGAAAGTTTTCATTCTATAAAATAACAATTTGTCAATAGAACTACATATATTTTATATACTGATATGTCTTGTGTAAGCTACACTTAGAAAGAAATCAATCACAGATGAAATGTATAAATTTAATCATGAAACATGTATCTATAGTAAAAATAGAAGATATTTAACTTCCCATATGAATCAACGTTATTGAAAAAGCATTTAGAAACGATCGATTATCAAAAAGATTAGCAAGTTATAGTGTTATAATTCAACACATCTTTATAGATATAAGGTAGTACAAGCAATTAGATTATGTACAGTACATAATTTAGAATACCTCCAAAATTCGTTTTTTTTCCTAAATTATTCTTCAACTAGCATTTAGCTAGATAGCATAACTTGCCTACATTCTACAGGTATTTCTGTGCAAATTTTTCCAGTACTAAATAATTTTCAAATGAAGATATATAATAATCTTTCAAATTTCTATTGCTCAGCAAAACATACAATTAGTTTTTCAATTTACCTGCTTGCTACAATATGACCAGGTAAACCAAATCTTTCATAATCACCACCATATATATCTTTGACTAATTTATCAACCTAATTATTATATATAAAATTAAATAAATATTTCACGAAAAAATTCTATTTACTTTATTACTATCTCCTTCCGAAGCTAACTGAATAGCTTCATCATAACTTGAACATCCTGTTAATAAACAACATAAACCCAAAAAAGTACCACCACCTATACTAAAATACAAAAACATAAGAAAAAAATTGTTATATTTACTATGACAAAATTTTCTTGTAACTAACCTTGTACCAGTTATACGTCGATAGCTACTTTCTGATTCGACATGTAAAATACTAATACCACTTCCAATATTAACTAAAAGAAATGGATGTTTTATATCGAATACAAATGGATGTTTATTTGGATTAGCATCATTTTGTGGTTCTTCATAATAGAAACATTCTTTTGAATTAAGTTTACTTATATAACATAAACCTTTCATTAATGTATCGAGTTCATCACATTTACACCAACTTATTTGTAATTTCTAAATTAAAAAAAGAGAGAAAAGATTCGATGTAAAATTCTTTTTTTAAGAATATTTACATCAACAATATCTTTCTCAAATTTATAAGCACCACCACCTGTTGCAAAGATTTGAAATGTTAATGTATGTAAATTTCTCATAACACACATATCAATAAAATTCATCATTTTTGATGTTGGAAATCGAATAAAATGAAGAGTTCCTCGACGTCCACCTAATTCTATATTAGATAATTCAAGTTCATCATCCCGTACACCATCTTCTCCATAAGCACGATTTGATGTTAAATAACGACGTATATTCATTAAAATTTCACCTTCACTTCGAATTTCATCTGCAGTTAAATCCAATGGTTCAAAATAAACAAGTTTAACCAATGTTCCACCTATATCAATACCAAACCAAGGAAAAACTATTACAAAAGTGAAAAGAAACATATGAGATTGAATTATGATTTATTTATTTACCTGGATATGCTTTTTCTTCATGACCGGATGCTGATGAAGTAGTATTAGAGGACATCCTTAAATAAGGTTTTTTTCCGGATTGGGAATGTTCAGTATTATTAAAGCTAAAATAAAGAAAATAATTTATTGAATACTGAATTTATGTAGGAGAGAATATGAAATGCGACACGTTTCAAAAGTCGTTGTTTTCTCGTCTCGTAACAGCCGTTTGATGAGAATATATCGTATATCCTCTGATATTTCTATCAATTTAATTTGTTGATTATATTTAAATAATAACACCAGGCGTCGAAAATTTTTGTCAATTCTGTTTCAGTATAACCTCGATAAACCTCACAAAAAAGTTAGAACTATTTGAATAGTGTGAGTTGCATCGACCCATTTTGTGAAATAATACCGGCTGACATTTATATGATAAGGACAAGAATCTATGATTTGTCATATCAGGCAAAGAGAATATAGAAACGAAACTATCGATAAGTTCGAATACCATGTTGTTAGTCGAACGACATTTTGTCGAATTTTTTTTTTGTAGAAATGCACTTCGTCGAACGAAAACTATATTGTTCTTATTTTCTCACGAGCAAGACAAAAGTTCACATATCTTTAATGATCTTTTTATGTTTGGGAACAAAGGTGAATAGTCGCTGAGTACATGCAATAAATAATGATCATTCACATTCAATCGTCAGTGAGGAGTGATGGCGGATGCAAATGTCGGTGTGATTTATTCGAAAATACACACATGCCCACCCACACCTCAAAAACAAGAAATATCACACTATGATTACTTTTCCTGTATACTATGTCGACGAAGTGCTGTGCCGACAAAAAATTGTCGATGACAGTTTTGTCGAAAAAAGGACTTTCGATTAACAACATAATTACGATAGGTTCTATACTGTAAAGTAAAGAAATTATAAATAAACCTTTTCTTGTCCATTTTAATTGCACATAATTGAATTGATTAGTTAAATTAGCAACATCTGAAATGAGAATTTGCACAAAGAATATATTTTTCAAAAATTTGTTTTTTTATAGATATACATGTATAACAAAAAAAAATAGTATCATATGATTATCTGACAAAAATATCGTTTTTATTCAACTACAGATTCATTATTTTCATTTTCAAGTTCGTTTTCAATTTCATCATTCTCGTCATTTTCAACTGTTGATTCTGGTTGATTTTGTTGTTTCTTGGCTGATTCTTCTTTCTTCTTACGTGTTTGTTCTTGGTAATCTGAATAAAAAAATATTTTATTCATTTCGAAAATATTCTCATCTAACCTTTCAATGCTTCTTGTAATGGTTCAACAAGCATATCAAATTGATTTGATTGTAATGCTTTAAAAATATCTTGAACTGTTACTGTTTTACGTTTAGCACTTGAAGCATATTGATTCGCACTAAATACGAACAAAAACAAACATGTAGATTTTTTTTTCAATATGAAATAATTACTTACGTTGTACTAATATAAAGTATAAATGATAATGCAGCACGTGACATAGCTGCTCGAGCTTCTTTCGAAATAGTTGGTGATCCTTCCAACTAGAAAGATAAATTTTGAATGAAATTGAAAACTTTGTAAAAATACTTACAGCTTCGTTCATCAATCGAGTAATAACTGCATTTGGAAACGATAGATCATCAACTTCATCTGACATGATTATCTAGAAAAAAAAGGCCAATCTTTATGAAAATGATATCAATCTCCATAATAATTGATAACAAAAACAAGAAATTAAACAGTTTCGATTTTATTCTTATTATCTGAATCTAAATTAATAAAAATTAGAATATATAGAATTTCCTAGAAATTTTAAATTAACCTTCGGTATTTTTTACCACCCAACCTTTACGTTCGGGAATATTTTTTTTCAATGTTTGACCCCAATCATTAGTTGTCATATATGTAACCAAAATATCAAATACTAAATATTAGAAGTAAAACAAAACATAGGATAGAATAGAATTAAATTAATTTCACCTTGATTAATCGAAAGAATTTGATTGAATGTACCACCGGTAACTGCATGTTCCATATAAGTTTCAATCGGTAATTTGCAACAAGTAATATTTTTATCTTGACATGATTGATATGTCATATTCTAGATAGTTAAAAGAATATATTATTAAATATTTTATGTATAGAATAAGAATTACTTTTCTAACACTTTCATCTACAAGACCACCAATAACATGTATAGTTTGTTCATTAACTTCTGTCAAGATTTTATCACCATTTGGACTTAAATAAATTAAACGTTCCGATGGATATGTTTCATAAATAGGTTTATCATCGAGAATAATCTACAGAATAATTCATTTTAAAGAGAAAAATAACCATCTGTTTTTTTGTTACTTGATAATTATCAAAACCATTATTAACACGACGACATTCTTGTGCTAATAAACTATCATTTGACCAATTGGTTAGAATGAGTCGTACAGGTTTTGTAGCTCGACGATTTGAACTATAACATCGTCCAATTTGTCGAGCAAGACTTGCAATTTCCTAATGAAGAAAAATAAATAAATTATGATTTATTGGAATTATTTTTAAAAAGAATAAGATCAACTAACTTTACTCGACATTGATTCATTATATGCACAATCAATGCAAATCATCGGTGCTTCTGAATCTCGATTAATTTCTGCTAGACGTTCATTAGCAGCACGTTTAAAAGTTTTTCCAGTCACTGATACGAGTTGATCAGTTAAAACTATTGATGAAATAAAAGTATTTATATGAAAAAAAAGAATATTTACTTTCAGACGAATCGGAAGGGATTACTATTGATGCAGTGGGATTAGAAGGTGTACGTTTTTTTTTCTTTTTACCAGTTAATTTACGTTGTTCTCGTAGACGTTCATAACGTAAACGTTTTTTAGCACTTCTTGGTAAACGTTTTTGTTTTGTAGATTCAACTGTTGTTTCATTTTCATCACTGTGAATATCAGGAGATGGTACCGATGACATAGTTTAATCACAATATCTAAAAGAAACTACGAGGTTTGCCTAGACGATTTGTAATTTGAGATATTTCCTATTAAAATAGGCTAAATCAGTCTAAAAACAATAATAATATTGAAATTGAGTGATGGATGAAAGCAACACTCATACTCGTTTGGATTGGATATTGTTTTGATAAAGATTTTTATATTAGAGATGTCGCTTCCGTCTAGACATTACTCTCATGTTTTATCTGTTATAATATACATCATCAAAGGATTTTAATCACGAATAAATCTGCTAAATATATGTATCAAAAGTCACGATCATTCATCTATTAATCGGATTTCAACTAAAACGTTTTTTTTCTGTTCAAAGAAAAAGATATATCTCAGTATGAAAAATAATGCATATCATAGTTTATAAAAACAAAGTAAGATGCTCAATTTTAATGACATATACACACTAACGGCTTGATATTCTGCCGGAACATCAAACAAATTACTAAAAAGCAATAATAAAAAATTTAACGATTCAAAGACTACAGTGAGAATATAAAATCAAGTAAATTTGATCTGACATATTTTATAGCTATTTCATTATTAATAATATATAGTTTTTATTTCATTTTTAAGTAATTCTCAAGAGAATATTTCAAACTGGGTGCAAAGAATCTCATAGATGATGAAATAATATAACTATTCTCGTCGATCATAATAAATTCTATTGAATCATATTATTTGTTAAATATAATATTCTTTGCTTGATAGACAAAGCGTAAAATTATCAATGTTTATTTAAAGTAACTTAACCGTCTCTATTCAACGCTAATCAATATAATTTGGGCGTCTGGAATTTCGCCAATTGGCAAACGTCTCGTCATCTTAGAATTCAAGATCATAAAACATCATGTTTAATTAGTTCTTTTTTTGTCAAAATCTAACCTAAATGCTTTACAGAACTAAAGAATAAGTTCCATACTATAAATTAGATTACTTTTTATATGACATTTGAATATTTTTTAAAAAGCTATGACATAATTTCATTTGATAAAAAATAAGTTCACAATATTTAATAAAATAAATGGATGTCATAAATTTAAAATTTTGTCTCTCTGCACACGTTTCTATATTGCTATTGTTTGGGTATACCCAATGCGTGTCGTAAACGTGTTAATGGTCTTGCATTCTGTTTTCGAGCTTGTTCCGTATAGACCATTGCTTTAAATGCTCGTACATCATTATCATCAACATCAGTTGCAAAACGTCTTGATTCTAATCGTGTTTTTTCATTCATATTCGAACTCGTTGAAATATCATTTGCTGAACGTGCCCATTGTCGATGTATAACAGGTGTCGATAAATAATCATTATTACATCCTAACGATGCTCGTTCTTTTGTGCAAAGTGATGTTTTTATTGCTAAAAACCATTTTCGTCGTTCACTATTATTCGATAAATCATCACTAGATGGACATGTACGTAAATTTCCTACTGATCCAATTGAATTTGGATCATCAGGTGTATAAAGAAAATGAGTTGTTTCTGATGTACTACGTCGAAGTGATGATGATGGTACGGCAAGTCGATCTGTTATTACGATTTCTGGAGGTTGAAGTTTATCTGTTAATGGTACTGGTATTGATGTCGTTGTATATGAAGATAATGATGATGATGATGATATTAATGATAATCGATTGACTGTTTGTTCAAGAAAACGAATACGATCAATTAAAAGTGAATTAAAATTAGACAATAATTCTTCACGTAGTCGTGCTAAACGTAATTGTGTATCTCTCCGAACACATAATTCATTTGTGCAACATTCATTGACCATATTTTTTGATGTAATAATTCAAACAAAAAGTATTATTATACGATAAACTTATTTAATAATTATATAAATTATTTTTTCTGCATATATATATATATGTGTGTGTGTGTAAATATGTTTATGTTTGATAACAGCTTTCGACGACACAAAAGTAAAAGAAAAGTGTAATTAAGAATGATCACAAATAAGATGACACTGTAGAAGAAATATAAAAGAAAATGTCAAAAAAGAAATCGAAGAAAGAAGAGAAACTAATGGTATCGATTGAATCAATCGTTGTCTTTGTATGTTTCTTCTATACTATGTCGTTTCTTCTTCTCACCACGTATGCTTTATTGAACTACATGCCATTTATGTCGCCCGTTCGCAAACAAGTACTTTCTAACGGCTGCAAACAGCGTTATTTTATCGAGTAGAACGTCCTTTTCTCTCTCTCTCTCTATGCTTCTTCCTATCAATCTATTTTTCCTCTTTACTTTTCTCGCTATGTAAGAAAATAAAAAACTATCATAACAATGAGCTCTATTTTTCATCTCAATGATCATAAAAAGTATAACATATATATATTTATATGTGTTGATCCGTCATCCTCATGATTAGTGTTGAGCCTTATTCAAGTAAGACGAAGAACAAGAAGAAGAAAAAAAGATAATAATTCTGAAGTGTTTTTAACACGCAATGAGAAGTTTGAGATTAGATAGAATAATGAAATATGGATGATGTTTGTTTTTTTTCTAATGAAAAATATACAGAGACACACGTACGTGAACGATAATGCTTTATACACATACATTTGGAATGAGAAAAAGAAGAAAAAAAATGAAGACAAAAGAAATATAATAATCACACACATTTGAATATTTAATCTTGTTGCATTGCATTAAGATTTTGTGTTGATAATGAACATTGTTGAAATTCAAGTTCATTGATAATTGTTTGATAAAATTTTAATTGTATATCATGATCTTGTGTTACTAACTCTTTGGGTATTGCTGAATGATTTGAATCAAGTACTTTCAATACATTTTCATCTGGAAAACGATTATTTGTTGTTCCTACAGTTTTTTTACTTTTTTCAAATTCATCAATACTAGCACGTAATAATATACATTGAGATTTAACTTTCATTGGTAATGAATCATCATTGCCATTAGATATATATGCTAGGAAGATTTTCTAAAAAAAAAAAGAAAAATTGTTGTCATATAATTAAAGAAAAATACGAAGTAGTGTTTTTTTTTCTCCTTCTCAAACATATACTATAATCATTCTAACGAAAAAACATCTGTCATCTATGCAAAAATCATAAATATGCTTATCGTAATCGTATGATTTTGCCGCATCTACTTCCGAAAGACAATCGGATACAATTATCATTGATGATTAGATAGATCTTCTTTTTTTTAGATCTTGTAATAATCCATTATCATCGAGATAATTTGAAAATTTTCTGTATGAAGATTTACGAGCAACTATATTCAATGTTGACATGTACGATTTAATTAATTCAATTATCGATTTTGAACATTAATTTTCTTTCTATCTATAGATTGATCTTATAAAAATTAGTCACAAAGCGCAAAGTTAGAATAACTAATGTTAGTTTTTTTTTCTAACAATATGCTATATGTTTGTTAAAAGAGAACATATTGTAATCTAAATGAAATTATTAAAACTAACCATAAGATGAGCTTTAAGTAAATTACTACATTGATGTTCATTTCCATATCGTACAATCAATTGAATAATAAGATCTGTTATATTATTACTACGTGATTGTCTTTGTCGTAATGAATCGACTACATCTAAACATCCAATATGAAAAGCAATTGAATTTGGATTTGAATCAATTGAATTTGTTAACATAAAATCAAGTAATCTACCAAGATCATTATCATCAAGTATATTTGAATGTATAGCAAAGACATGTAATAATTCTAATCGTACATCAATTGCTGTTTGTTCATCAAGTATAATAAATATTTGTGTTAATTGACCAAGTAAACATTTTAAATTTTCATTCATATTATTATTATTTGTTAAATATGTTAATAAACGTAAAATAATAATAAAATTTCGACATGTTGATTCTGTTATAAATGGTAATGAAAGAAATTGTTGAATAGAATAAATACATGTATCAATTGTATGTTGAATTTGGTTTAAATTCAATTCTGTATTAAATAAACGTATAAATGAATAGAGATGATTGATATTTGTTGGATATATTAATGAAAGATTTGTTGAATTAATAATTGATTCTTTTGTTGAATAAATATTTGAATAGAAATTATAAATATGTTGAAATGTATTTGATGATATTATTGCTTCATAAGCATAAAATTTAACTTGACGTATATTAGGCATTGTTAATAAATGATTTATTAAATTTGAGTGTACATCAAGCTGAAGAAGTTCACTAAGAAATAAACCATAAAGATATTGAAATTGTACTGATTGATTATATAAAAACCAACATTGAATAATTAATTCACTAGATAATTGTATAGATGTTGAAAGTATTGAAGAATTATTCTCATCAGATAATTGTACAAGTTGATTCATTGATGAGAGAACTGTTTGCATCGGTTCATGATTAAAAAGTTTCATTAGAAGTGAATAGGTTATATCATATAGACTACCATATTCAACTTGAGTTTTAGTAAATGAAATTGGAAGAAGTGCTGGTAAAATAAGTTGTACACGACATTGATCAATTAAATTAAATAATTGGGTAATTAGAAGATTCATTAAATGTATTGATAAATCATAAGATTGTTTTGTTAAAATTAAATCAAATGTTTCAATAATACGAAAAAGTAATATTAATGATGCATATTTATTTTTATTTAATGATAATTCTTGAAATAATTCATCAAAAAATGATTTCATTGATTTTGATAAAGAATATGATATAAAATTATAAAGAATTTCTTGTAAAACTATTGTATTATTAAAAAATTCAAGTTGAAAACGATTTTGTTGACATGTTGATTCAAGACAGGCATGGATATGAAGCATTGTACGAAAAAAATCATTATAATTTTCAATTTCAGATATTGTATTATTATGTTGTATTAATCTACTTAACATTTGAAAATATAATCCATACATCTATTTAATTATAAAAGAAAGTATGGTTTTATTTGAATTTAAAAACAAATAAACTAATCACATTCGACTTTCTCCTACAGAGATCTATTAAATTATATTGGTTACTTAGAAGATATTATATAATTATGTGATTAGTTTTTAGAATCTATTAAATGATTAGTAATACTCAAGCACACGAAAAAATATTGTTACTATTCTAAACATGCTTGCTAAGTATGAAAATGTTCGGTCTAGAAATGAGATACTAAATGTCATTTTATTTGAATGTAGACTTATTATACAAACGTTGTTTTTTTCGATTATTACTGTCGGAAGTCAGACAAAATGCTTATAACTTCTTAACAAGGGGGTAACAGCGGACTTCAAGACTTCAAGATTTTAAAGACTTCGAAAGATTTCAAGAGACTTCCAAGACTTCATGAAACTTCGCAAAAATTCAAAGACTTCTAGAAACTTCAAAGATTTCGTGAGGCTTCAGGCATGAAGTCTCTGTTGTTTACCCTTTGCTTCTTAACTAGTTTTTTGTTCCTTCTCTCGAATAGTGAAGGTCACAATACTCTAGCTATCTTAATTCAAAAGTTAAGAAATCAAAGTTTTCCTACGTGACAAATTGAATCGGACTGAAACTACTATTATCTATATTTTAATCAAGTTAGAATGTGTCTTTTTCTCTGAGATATATCTTATCGAAGAAATTTAACTGTTTTCTTAGAGAAAAAATCTTATGCATTATCATATATACATAACTATGACTAAAATATCTCAGCCAGGCATGCATCGAACCCTGTGCCTAACACAGACCAAAATGAATGAATGACTGATCCCTGAAAGTTTTGTAGAGGGAAAGATGTGAAACTATTTTTAGCATTTCGACTCTCGATATCATATAAAGAAAGTATTCAAGAATGAGCTGTTCTTGAGAAAATGCTGAGAAAGGTTATACTTTTAAGTTTTTTTGGATTAAGTATGATATGATTCGATTATATTATTTTAGAATAATTCTTAGTGTGAATGATCGTTTGAATATTATTCATTTATTCGAAAGAGAAAAAAATTAAAATGTTCTTTTATTTTAACGAATTTGTTACTTATGAAAATGTACTTAAGTAATAAGAGTTCTATTATTGGAATGTTTATAGAAATTTTTATTAACGAATTAATTGAAACGTGCTTTCTTTGTATTCATTTTTTAAAGCAAATTTGTATTAATCTATCATATCCTTAGTTTAAATTGAATAGAAACTGCACGTAGATTAAAGATTATCTGAATATTTAGATAATAAATTTGTATTCTAATTGTATGTATAAGAATTAAAAAAAGCAAATTTACTTTAACCGTTGCCGATTCTCGATTATTATCTGGTTTATCTCGTGAACTTTTTGTAGAAATAGTAATCATTTGTTGTAATACACTTCCATAAACAGCAACTATTAAACCATCATTTGTATCTTCCATTTGAATTTGTGATAATTGTTGTTGATCATCACTACCTGTTAATATTTTAACAATTAATTTTTGACAAAACATTGTTGTTACAATATCAGAATTAGCAATTGAATCTGTAACAAGACGTAATTGTTCACAAAAATGTCTTCGTTCAGTTGATTTACTTAATATTGTCGAAAGATTAGGTGATTTAATAAATTCTTTTATTTGATTATATAATGTTTTAGTTGTCGTCATTAATAAATTAAGTTGATCTCGTGATAAAAATGATCCTGATATAATAATATCAGATTTTTCTGTACAAATTTTTGATAATGATATAATTGTATGAAGTAAACATGGAAGAATAATTGCAACTAATGTTGAATCTGATGAAGATATAAGACGATTTAATTGATTTGAACATTCATTAAGTAATGATTCAAGATTATTTAATGTTAATTCATCATGTACACGTGTTGTATAAAGATTTTTAAGACGTTGTTCAAGATCATTAACAATGATCGAAGCTGTTCGAGGACTAGATTCCATCTAAAAGATATAATTCAATATGAAATGATCGTCTTTTATTTTATTTTTGTACGTTCGTTCTTATATTGTTATATATACCACGTGGATATACTGTTCGTAAGTTATAGATAAATAATATTTTGAAAGGAAAAACGAATAAATAAATATCGATTATCTGATTCAAGAAATTACGATACTTATACATTTGAAAAAGAATTATTTACGAATAATTTAAACTATTGTCAATCTGGAAAGGCAAAAAACGGTCATGGGAGTAACTAATGGGAGGTTTCTTCAAATGATAACCCATCAGCCTTCGGACCGCATTTACTTTACATTTATAAGTTGTATTTCTATTGAAATTCATTTGAAGTTATGAAATTCTATTCGAAAGAACAAAAAACAACTGTCTTGCGCAATATTCACAGGTAAGTGTCGTGATGTAGAATAACTGGCAATGCCTCAATACAGGTTCGTCGGACATTAGTGACATCATATGTATGAAGATATAATATTGTTTTATTATAATAAAAGTATCTGATTGAGAATCAGCGTCAATTACAATCATCATTAATGAAAGTTATTCTTAGCTATATTTTTAACTGTAGCATGACTTTCTGTAATTTTTCCATAATTTAAATATTTTATAGCAAATATATCTACCAGCAAATATGCTGTGGCAGATTTTCACGATGATTATCACTCATGACGATGGAAAATTTTGAATTCAAAGAACTAAAAAGAATAATTCTAGATACACTATTAGAAGATCATTATCAAAATAATTTGATAAGTATATGAGTATTTTAATCTGTATGGTAAATAAGTGGAAAATATCGAATATTGTCGAAGAGACTGTCTAACTATGATAGAAAAATATCATTGAAACATTTGAAGCACGATTCCAGTCTTGACTATTGTTTATCTTGTAGCAAAACCGTACAAACGTATCGATATTTTGTTTTCTTCTATGATTTATATTGATATCAAGTGATTGTGTTTGTTAGTCTGTCTGTAGGGCTACGAGAGAGAGTAAGATTGTATATGAGTATATCTCATAGACTTAATTTAATTCAAGAAACACGTGTCCTTACAAAAGAAATGAACAGTATATATAAAAAAGAGAAGAAGGAAAAAATGTGATATATGTTTACATTTTTGACTCAGCGCATCATGCATCATGACCCAAAAGAAAAAAGAAAAGAAAAAGAAAAAATGTGATCATGTATCACATTTTTAATAAAACGCGTATAAAAAAGAGTGATGACTTGAGTCATCGCTATCAGCCTTGGTGTTAACTAACCAATATACATATATATAAACAAAATCAAATTTTTTTTTCATATATGTAAGTAAAAGAAGACGTATATGTAAGATGTGCTAATCATTGATCGAAAAAAAAATTGAAAATCATGTTCTCAGGGATATTAATCAATTTCATTATAAAAAATATCATTAAAAGTATAATAATACTATTTTAAAACTTTAATATTATAATAATTAGAATTTCAAGTAGATCTTGAAGATTATTAAGTTCTTTTATAAGCATTTTTTCTTGTTTGTAATAGTTAGAATAAAATTATTTCATAAATGCAGACAAAGAACTTTTTTTCGTATAACATCCATCCATTATTAATGTTTCGCGGCTACTTATCTAGTTTTCTTAATTACATTCCATTGATCCTTGCTTCATATATTTTATACGTATATGATATTGTCAAAGGTCATTTAATAGTGAAAATATAATACTTTAGAATCATTTTATAAACTATCCATTTTTCTCTTCTATCATTTGTAATAATAGTTTGGAAATTCGGTGAATACGAAATGTGCATATATGATATATACAGGAAATATAATTTGTTCTCGTATAAAAAAAAAAATAGTATTTCATTCTTTTAAAGTATTATCAATTATTTCTTGAGGATAATACATCAAAACACTGCTGTAATTACTATACTAAAGATCAAATAATAAGCACTTTTGATATAGACTTTGCAAACTGCTTCAGTTTCTAATTCAAATTGAGAGTATAACAATAAAATTTAACAGTTAGTGCATAACTAAATCTTTGTATATTCTACCACACTCATATCGATTCATCCATTTTTCGCATTTTAAACGATTTCTCTTAATCATGTTTCATTAAAATTTCAGTAACATGATTTTTATTTGATTCAGATATTTATTAATTAAAAATGCAAAATACCTAATCGCAAAAAAATGTGTGTATGGATTCGACGGTTATAATCTTTTGATAATCAAATTAAAATCTTGGATATGAAGTTCTTAAATAGATATCATATAAAATTGTGGTCATGATTTCTTATATTCACATACTCGTAAATAATATATGACATCAGGATAATCCATTAAACTATTCATAGAAATATATATTATATCAGTACAAAGGTTCATGATTTTACGATTCGTTTATTGATGTAATGAACTGTGTTCAAATAACAAAATCAAATCTATAACAACAATTCGGTAGAAATCGTGTTGATTATATCAATTTCTTTAAAATATCTTAGCATCGTGTAAATACCTTAACAAAGTAGTATAAAACGAAAATATACATTAATTTTTAATTTTTATACTACAAAAACAAAGTGTCTCTGAGAAAATCTATTTAGAAGCGTTGAAATGTTTAATGCTAATAACTTTCTTGTGCTATAATCTTTATACACGTAGCTTTTGTATCAAGAAAATATATTGAATATATAAAGAATAAATATAATTAGTATGAAAAAAGTGAATAATAGATTAAAAAAAAGAAAAAATGTATAAAATAGAATATTAACATGTCTGTAAGAGTACATTTAAACTGTCAGTACCATCATTAATCACAGCAAAATCTGTTTTTTTGTCATTGTTGAAGTCACCGACAACAACAGACGAGGGATGAGATCCATAGTTGGTTGCAACAACCAAGAATTTGTCAAATGTACCGTTACCCCGTCCAAGAAATACACCTTGATTGTTGCTATCATAATTAGCAACCAAAACATCCAAGAACGTATCATTGTTAAAATCAGCCACAGCTAGAGAATAAGGACCTGAAACTGAACCAGTAGAATATGTTATTTGATTTTTGAAAGACCCATTTCCATATCCCAGAAAAATACCCATATTAGCAGTACCGTAATTAGCCACGACAATATCTAGATAAGTATCGTTGTCAAAATATCCAACAGCTACCGAATATGGAGATGAGTATAAACCAGTTGAATATGTAACTTGATTTGCAAAAGATATATTACCGTATCCAAGAAAAATACCAATATTCTGTGTGTTTGAATTAGCAACAATAACATCTGTCTGATTATCATTATTAATATCACCGACAGCCAATGATCGTGGTCGAGAATAATTACCGGTTATAAGCGTTGTTTGTGGTAAAAATACTTGATTGGTAGATCCAAGAAGAATACCAATACGATTATCGGATTCACCCGTCGTAACAAAATCCAACTGAGTGTCGTTATTGAAATCACCAACAGCTACAGAGGATGACGTTAATCCAGCTGAATATGTCATTTGATTTCCAAACAAACCATTCCCGAATCCAAGAAGAACAGTGGCATTAATGTTAAATCCACTGACACAAATAATATCCAAATGATTGTCGTTGTTGAAATCACCGACAGCTACAGAAGTTGGAGCATAATCAATTGAATACGTCATTTGATCTGCAAACGAACCATTACCATACCCAACAAGAACACTAACGTAACTGATAGCCAAATTGATAACAACAATATCCAGTCGATTATCATTGTTGAAATCACCGACTGCTACATAACTAGGGTAAGGATCAGTTGAATATGTCATTTGATTTGCAAATGAACCATTCCCATACCCAAAAAGAACACCCACATTGTTCTTAAATTCATTAACTACCACAATATCTAGTCGATTATCATTGTTGAAATCACCAACAGCTATAAAGGGTGGAGCAGAGCCAGTTGAATACCTGATTTGATCTGCAAATGAACCATTGCCATATCCAAGAAGTACACTAATGTCATGGGTCCAAGAGTTCGCCACAACAATATCCAGTCGATTATCATTATTGAAATCACCAACAGCTACAGAAGATGGTAAAGCGCCAGTTGAAAACGTCATTTGATCTGCAAATGAACCATTACCATACCCAAGAAGCACACTGATATTATTGCTATGTAAATTGGCGACAACAATATCCAGTCGATTATCATTGTTGAAATCATCAACAGCTAAAGAGGCTGGACTAGCGCTAGTTGAATATGTCATTTGATCTGCAAATGAACCATTACCATACCCAAGAAGCACACTGATATTATCGCTATAGAAATTGGCGACAACAATATCCAGTCGATTATCATTGTTGAAATCATCAACAACTACAGAGGCTGGACCAGTGCCAGTTGAATAGATTATTGGATCTACAAAAGATCCAGTATTATACGTAGAAAAGACATTCACATTATCGTTATCATCACATGCGACAATAATTTCTGATTGTGCATCATTATTAAAATCACTGGAAACGATAAGAAATGGAGATGAAACAAAATGAAATCCATTATTTGTTTGAGTTGTAAATGTGCCTTTTGCATTTCCAATCAGCATATCGAGATCTTTAGTACCATAATTTAGCACAGCAATATCCAATAGCATGTCACCATTATAATCAGCAATAGCAATAGCTGATGGATGAGAATCGGAGCTACTAATGAGTATTTTTTGGCTTAGAAAAGTACCATTCCCACTTCCAAGAAGAACACCAATATTGTTAGTGCCATAATTAGCGGTAATGATATCGAGTCGAGTGTCATTGTTTAGATCACTAATAGCAACATATCGTAAACTGGAAGCACCACCAGATGCATAAGTCATGTATTTAATCAAAGCTCCTCTGTTAAATTGAAGTAGTACACTGATATTATTGTCATTACTATTGGCGACAACAACATCGAGGTGAGTATCATTGTTGAAATCACCAATAGCTAGCGAGATTGGACTAGAACCAGTTGAAAACGTCACTTGATTTGCAAACGACCCATTACCATACCCAAAAAGAACACTAAAGTCATCGCTATCGTAATTAACTACAGCAATATCCAATTGAGTGTCCTTGTTGAAATCACCAACAGCTATAGACTGCGGGGAAGAGCCAGTTAAAAACGTCATTTGATTTTGAAATGAACCATTGCCATACCCAAGAAAAACACCCACATTATTGTCACCTTCATTACCTACTACAAAATCCAGTCGATTATCATTGTTGAAATCACCAACAACTACAGACCATAGATCGGAGCCAGTTGAATATGTGATTGGAACTGCAAATGAACCATTGCCATACCCAAGAAACACACCCACATTGTTGTCAGCTCCATTTACTACCACATCCAGTCGACTATCATTATTGAAATCACCAATAGCCATATACTGCGGGGAAGAGCCAGTTAAAAACGTCATTTGATTTTGAAATGAACCATTGCCATACCCAAGAAAGACATTCACATTCTTGTCAAGTTGATTACCTACCACAATATCTAGTCGATTATCATTGTTGAAATCACCAACAACTACACAGAGTGGAGCAGAGCCAGTTAACAACGACATTTGATTTGCAAATGAACCATTGCCATACCCAAGAAAAACACCCACATTGTTGCCACCTTCATTAACTACTACAATATCTAGTCGATTATCATTGTTGAAATCACCAACAGCTACAGAGGCTGGACTAGCGCCAGTTGAATATGTCATTTGATCTGCAAATGAACCATTACCATACCCAAGAAGCACACTGATGGTACCGTCATCAACATTGGTGACAACAATATCCAATTGGTTATCATTATTAAAATCACCAACAGCTACAGACTGTGGATAAGAGCCAGTTGGATACGTCGTCTGACCTGGAAAACCTTCAAAATAACCAAGAAAGATATCGATAGCACCAGTATCATTATTAACGATCATAATGTCTAATCGATTATCTTTGTTCAAATCATATATGGCCAACGCAATTGAAGATGAAGAACCACTTGAATAGTATGTGAGCGAACTTTCAAAAGTACCACTACCGGATCCTAAAAGAACACCGATATTGTTAATACCTTGATTAATGACGACTAAATCCATTTTATTGTCCTTATTAAAATCACCAATGCCAATCGAGTATGGAGATGCATTATCAATAGAATACGTTATTTGATTCGTAAAACTGTCATTAGCATTGCTCAGAAATACACCAATGTTTTTAGTTCCGTAATTAGCTACAACAATGTCGAGGAAGATGTCATCATTAAGATAGCCAATAGCGATTGAATATGGATGAGATCCAACACCAGTTGAAAACGTGATTTGGTTTTCAAAAGTATTATTTTGATTACCGAAAAGAATACCAACATTGTTAGTGCCAGCATTGGCAATTGCAATGTCTAAATAATTGTCATTGTTGAAATCACCAATAACCAACGACATTGGAAGAGAATCATAGCCAGTCAGATATGCTACAGGAGATGAAAAATTTCCATTTCCATGTCCATAGAATATACTTATACTCTGTGTTCCATAATTGACAGTTGCAATATCAGGTAATGTGTCGTTATTCAAATCTGAAATACCAATTGAAATTGGACGAGATGAGCCAGTTGAAACTTCTCTCTGATCAGTGAATGATCCATTTCCAAATCCAAGAAATATACCGACATTATTAGTCCCAAAATTTGCCACGACAATATCCAAGTGATAATCATTATTAACATCATGAACAGCGACCATATAAGGAGCCGATCCAATACCAGTCGAATATATTGTTGGACTTCCAAGTATAATGCTGCTATTTCCAAAAGCCACACTTATACTGTCTACAGCATTATTAGCGATAACGACATCGAACCAAGTATCATTATTAAAGTCGCCGATAGCAATAGATCGTGGACCATATTTGTATTCGATTGGGTTTGGGTTAGTTTTACTGAACTTCAGCTCACACTTTGAAGCTAGATAATAAAATAAAGACTAATTTAATATTCCTGTTTATCTATCTCTATAATTTCAATGATATCTGTTGTAAACTATTGGAGAAAACACACTACTATGCAATCAGAGTGAACAAAGATTGTAAACTGACAAACAGTATACTTACACAAAATCTTATATATGCAGGATTTACGTGAGCGACTATATGAAAAATTCTTGCTAAGAAATTGCTTTATTTCATCATTCAATAATCTGTCTGAAATTGATCTACAATTAACATATCAATTCGATTACTAACTATTATCTCGTGATACTTCTAAATTAATAATCTTTACTTCAACTACTATTCAACTCAAGATGAGAGACGTGAAACATGAGCAAACCTGATTGTTTAGGTGAAGTAAAGCAGACTACCAATATAGCAATGAGCATTGCTATGGTCGAAAACATACAAAATGCACAAACAGGATGAACCATTAAATGAAGTATTGACCGTAAGCAAGATTTTCTAAAAACGAGAGCAATAAGATCATACATAATATGAAAAGAAAAATGGCATACCTAATCTTCAAAGCTATATTTTTTATCCGTTGATTGCCAGTATTATCGTTTACCCTCTCTCCAACATTCGTAATTGAAATTGGGTTCAAATTTTCGTTTCCATTGGTAGTCATAATTTCCTGATAAAACAAGCAGTTGATCGATATATTACTAATGTTCATAGAATATAGTTTAATTAATATAAGAAGATAGTTGTCAAAGAAAAACATATCTCTATATATTGTTCAATTTTAATAATATTTTAACTATAAAATGAAAGCATTTTCTGATAAAATAACACTCGATTCATTGATCGTTACGTAAGACCTTTTATGAATTTAGTCAAGTCAAAAGCGACTTGACTTGCTCGTCTTCTTCTCCTTCTCCTTTTCGATTGTTTTGTATGAACACCAATTCAACAGCAAGTATCACATATGGATTCATAGATATGCAACCGGATAGGGTACTTAAAACTAATCAAAACTTTTCTGCGATATGCCAAAACACACTAGCTTCTAGAGAATCGCAATGAAACCAGAGTTTAATGAATGCCTATTTTATATTATTTGAATCACCATTATCATTATTCGATATTATTGTTATATTATATTATTATTTTATTGTATTTTGAATGATCTAAAGTGATGTATTTATCAAACAGTAAGCACTTAATTTAATCTACTTTTATTCTATTTATTTTATTGGATCTAAGTAGATATATTTAGTGAACAGTAAGTAAATAATTTTTCTTATTGATTTCTATTTATTTTTGAAGTACTTTACTATATTTTATTATTTTAGAACATTTAATGAAAGATTTTTGTACCTCACTCTGAAGGTAGAAGAGGTAACACGTACGGTAAAAAAGATAATATCGTTACCATACAACACAATAATACGATCGTAAACCATCGTGTACAGTCTCAGTAAAACTCGACCTGGGAGGAAGCTAACTGTTTACGAACTTTAAAAAAATAAGAAAAAAAAATGTTGTTTCCGTTTGTGAATTGTCTGTAAGCGGCGACTATGATCTTACTAATACAATGAATATTATTAGTATATAAGTAGTTACCTTTAAATTATGTTCACAAAAGATCGAAGTCAAAGAAGAATCGATGTATATACTAGTTGTGAATATAAATGAAAGCAAAAAATGAAACAAAAATGTGTTAAATACACTCTTTTATTTCTCCTTTAATGTGATAGTTATTGATGCATGAATCTTCTTTATTTGACGATTTCGTAAAAATAATCAAATAGTCAGGCAAAACAACACAAAGGAGGGGTCTCTCATCGTCCGTTTATACAAACAATATTGCCTATAATGTATGTGCGCAGAGAAAAAAAATACATTAACTATTTCACTCACACCAACGAAATACGTATAGATAATTAGATTATGCATGACAAAACCGTTCTCTCTCGTCATGTATGTAAGAAATATTGCCTATAGTTAACGTATTAAGATAAAAGAAAAAGTATTCATGAGTCAGCTCTCTTTTTTTCTCATAACGAAAGATGCGCCGATAACTGGTGTACAAATAAAGCCTTTCTTTCGTCTTTTATTCTAACAAATATTACGTGTATTCTATGTATGAAAAGAAACGAAAAAAAACAAAACATCGTCGTAATCGATCATGCTTGATCGTTTATCATATCCTTTCGTTTAAATATTTTATCGAATCTTCTATTACCGTAGATCGTTTTGTAAAAATGTTTGTGCATAAAAAACTCATCAGATCAATTTTTACATTTTTACAATTTATTCTAATATGCTTATTTGCATTTTTTTTATGTATTGAGTAGATGCATTGTGAAAAATATTCATGTTATCCAATATGATTGAGTATTAAATTTTAAAATATCTCCTTGAAAAAAAAGAGTATCTGAGTACGATGATTTTTCTAAAATGTCGTTTCTGAGAGTAAAATAAAAAAGTCTTATTAGTTAATAAAAAGGTTTTTATTGTTCACAAAAATATTTATTGGAAAGGAATTTATTTTTTTCTGATAAGAATAAATAAGTGAGTAAAATAACAATTGATAATATTCTAATTAAGATTTTTCGTTTATAGTTGTACGTATTCGATCTAAAAACTAAGAATGAAACTATATTCTTCAATATAGTGATTACAGAAATGAAATCTTAAATCATATATACACAAAGTATTCAGTGACTGATTTATGGGAATATAATATAAAGGTTCGTAAAATAAATGAAATAGTCAGTTATTAATTGATCAGACGAATAAATAAATTTCAAAGTTAGTAAATAAAATTTTCTAATAGTTAGGTACATTACCAAATCAGTAAAAATTTGAAACAGCTACTGGGTGACTCATTTTTGTACTTTTTTCTTTTTCTTTACCTGTTCTACAAATGTGCTTCGTTTTTCTCATCTATTTTTTTTTCTAATAACAAGAATCTTTGTTTTAAGTTTTCTTATTGTTTATTATTTGAAAAACAAAGGCAAACAAGTTTCTCGATTTATTCTCTAGTCAATTTCTTTGTTCATCAAAATGTTTAAATACTTTCAATAAAATATTTACC